AAATGAAACAAACAAGATGTACTTTACCTGCAGACTGTCAGCTTTAATTTGAGGGTATTTACATCCAAATTAGGTGAACGGTGTAGGAATTACAACAGTTTGCATATGTGCCTCCCACTTGTTAAGGGACCAAAAGTAATTGGACAATTGGCTTCTCAGCTGTTCCATGGCTAGGTGTGTGTTATTCCCTCATTATCCCAATTACAATGAGCAGATAAAAGGTCCAGAGTTCATTTCAAGTGTGCTATTTGCATTTGGAATCTGTTGCTGTCAACTGTGAAGTTAAGATCCAAAGAGCTGTCACTATCAGTGAAGCAAGCCATCATTAGCCTGAAAAAAACAAAACAAACCCATCAGAGAGATAGCAAAAACATTAGGCGTGGCCAAAACAACTGTTTGGAACATTCTTAAAAAGAAGGAACGCACCGGTGAGCTCAGCAACACCAAAAGACCCGGAAGACCACGGACAACAACTGTGGTGGATGACCGAAGAATTCTTTCCCTGGTGAAGAAAACACCCTTCACAACAGTTGGCCAGATCAAGAACACTCTCCAGGAGGTAGGTGTATGTGTGTCAAAGTCAACAATCAAGAGAATCGAGAGACTTCACCAGAGTGAATACAGAGGGTTCACCACAAGATGTAAACCATTGGTGAGCCTCAAAAACAGGAAGGCCAGATTAGAGTTTGCCAAACAACATCTAAAAAAGCCTTCACAGTTCTGGAACAACATCCTATGGACAGATGAGACCAAGATCAACTTGTACCAGAGTGATGGGAAGAGAAGAGTATGGAGAAGGAAAGGAACTGCTCATGATCCTAAGCATACCACCTCATCAGTGAAGCATGGTGGTGGTAGTGTCATGGCGTGGGCATGTATGGCTGCCAATGGAACTGGTTCTCTTGTATTTATTGATGATGTGACTGCTGACAAAAGCAGCAGGATGAATTCTGAAGTGTTTCGGGCAATATTATCTGCTCATATTCAGCCAAATGCTTCAGAACTCATTGGATGCCGCTTCACAGTGCAGATGGACAATGACCCAAAGCATACTGCAAAAGCAACCAAAGAGTTTTTTAAGGGAAAGAAGTGGAATGTTATGCAATGGCCAAGTCAATCACCTGACCTGAATCCGATTGAGCATGCATTTCACTTGCTGAATACAACACTGAAGGGAAAATGCCCCAAGAACAAGCAGGAACTGAAGACAGTTGCAGTAGAGGCCTGGCAGAGCATCACCAGGGATGAAACCCAGCATCTGGTGATGTCTATGCGTTCCAGACTTAAGGCTGTAATTGACTGCAAAGGATTTGCAACCAGGCCTCCATCAAGCCTTTCCATTTTAGCGGGTTAGTATAATACTCATTATGATCCCTTTTGCCTTTATGGCATATGTTTACAGCACATGTGTTTATTACTCTGATATGTATTATTTATGTTTTCATTATATCATACGTTTGTATTTTGATTTATTTTTTATGGGGTATGCTTCTTAAGTCCCATTTACGCTGTTTTACCATGCTGCTTTTGCCTCGTATATGGGAACTATTCTCATATATATGGTGGATATTTTATTGCACCAGTATTTTATTTTTATTTTTATCATCCTTTTAGTTTCCATACGTTGGGGCTTATGAGTTCAATACCCCCCTATATTTGATATCAGTATACTTACCAGTATATATGTTTACCCTGGTTTTGGTCATTTTATACCTTTTGGTGCACGTTTCTAATATTCCCCCCTCTTGTGCACTATACATTTGCATTGGATACCTCTTGGGGTTATCCTTATGGTATCTGGCAAATACACCGCTGCTTCAGAGGTTTATGATGTCTGGCATCAGCATCTGTGGCTGGGGCAGCGCTGGTTAACTGCATTATATGCCCATGGTAAAATGGCGCCCCGCGCATGCGCACTTGTGGATTACGGACGTTCGGACTCCGGCAAGATGGCGCCGTACCAGTGCGCATGCGACGGCTACGGTATATACACACACGAGGATACGGTCATGGCAGTCCTATGCTCTACCTCTGAAGAAGTGCGTGCGCACGAAACGCGTCAGATGGAGCCCAGGACGCCGTTGACACTAAGCCGCCGGTGCCACGTGGAGGCCCGGCGGCCACCTTTATTTCCAAGGGGTCAGTGTGTTTGCTCATACTTGCCACTACTATGTTTTATTGTGCACTAGTGTTTATAATAAAATTTCTACCTACTACACTATGAGTGCTTCCATATGTCTCCTGTGAGGAGCTTTTCAACCCTTACAGCCCTAAGTGATCCCTGTGTCAGTTCCTGAGAAGGGGGAGGCTGATCTTGATTGATTCTTCTCTGACCTGCTGGACCTTTCTTTCACCACATGAGGGCGTAGGATCTCCATTTTTCCCGGCTACTTCCTTGACCAGACCAGAAAGGAGAGGGGGACCTTCAGGATATATGCTCACATGTGTATTACTTATACGCTTTCTGGTTAGTGTGTATTTCTACCATTTGCACTGGGAATCAAGGAGCACCTTTATCGGACTGTGTTTCATCATTATTTTAATGTTCATTTTAATGTTCTTTTTAAACGCTGCATTTTGTCTATACATTAAGTGAAAGTTTGATTTAAGATTATTATTCTGTCCCATTACTTTTGGTCCCTTAACAAGTTGGAGGCACATATGCAAACTGTTGTAATTCCTACACCGTTCACCTGATTTGGATGTAAATACCCTCAAATTAAAGCTGACAGTCTGCAGTTAAAGAACATCTTGTTTGTTTCATTCCAAATCCATTGTGGTGGTGTATAGAGCCAAAAATGTTAGAATTGTGTCGATGTCCCAATATTTATGGACCTGACTGTATATGTGATTTTGCACAGCCCTGTAGCAGTATTTCTGCTATAGGGTGGCAGGAAAGCGGTTAATATTCAAAGCACACACACACTTTCTGGTTGTGGCCATCTTGAGTAATGGCAGAAGCTTCATGTAGCATTTATTTCCTGAAATCCATCTGCCCTTAGTTCAGGTAGAAGGGGTGTGCTTTACTGAGAAAACCCCTGCTCCCTCCTGAAGACTCCTGGGATGTGTGACATTCTTTGCCTTGCCCCAGAAACCAGGAAGTAACTGAAGAAATGTAAAAAAGAAAACGTTGAACAAGTAAATATGATATACTTTTCTATCTATTTACTAATGCTAGCGGCATAAGGATTAAAAATAGTCCATGTTGATTGAGAGAGTGAAGCTCCACTTTAATAATAAAGTCTTTTTCAAGTATACTAGACTGGATGAACTTTGTGTCTTTTTTTCAGCCAGATTAACTGTGTATACTAAACTCTATAAATTGGGAAAGAAATGGCAACCGAATGTGTTGACCTTTATCAGCCAGCTGCGATATTTCTATTTGAATACAAGGGCTAAACCTTGATTAGCTGCTGTTTTTTCAGCTCCTCCTCCTTCACTTCTTTCCTAGCACTTGTCTTTGACAACCAGCTTAATGACCAAAATAGTGGGAGTTAGCTCTTTATATCTGTGTACACTTTCCATAAATAGGTATGATCAATATATACCTACAAGGATGACTTTTAAGGGAACCAAAACCACATGTGCATGCTTTAACTGACATCAACTTTCAATAGTTAGAGCGTATCCAGTGGGTAAATGGTTAGCACTTCTGCCTGGTAGAACTAAGGTCGTTGGTTTGAATCCCAGCCACGACACCACCTGCCTGGAGTTTGCATGTTGTCCCTGTGCCTGCGTGGGTTTCCTCCTACACTCCAAAGACATGCTGGTAGGTTAATTGGCTCCTGTCTAAATTGGCCCTAGTATGTGAATGTAAGTTAGGGACCTTAGATTGTACACCCCTTGAGGGTTAGGGACTGATGTGAATGTGCGATTTATTTATTTTATTTATTTCAGGTGCTTTATATAGTACTGTCAATTTATGCAGCACTACATCTATATATTGTACATTTATATCAGTCGCTGACCCTCAAGGGGCATACAATCTGAGGTCCCTAACTTACATTCATACATACACATACTAGGGCCAATTTAGACAGGATCCAATTCACCAACCAGCATGTCTTCGGAGTGCAATATATATATATATATATATGTAAAGTGCTGCGGAAATTGATGGTGCTATATAAGTACCTGAAATAAATAAAAATAAATAGAAACGAAAATGTTGTATACTGCAGCTTACCAGTCCTTAGTGTGGCAGTTGGCTTTTCAGATTTCTGGCTGAGAACATTTTTCAGCAAGTACAGAAAATACCTGTTAATCTTGCCAGAAATGGAGTGTACTTAGCCCTTCCTGTGAGATTAAAAAAAGAAAATACAGACATTCTTAACTGTTAGTATGTAAATTACTAGTCCCATCAGTCTACTATGTAATGAAGATGAGCAAAGACGACATTTGTGCAGTTCATCCTGTGTGACAATCATGGCTTCCTCCATAGATACAATAGAGAAATGATCATACATAGGAAGTGTTATTCGCAGGCTCACTAGGTGAAAGTAGAAGGAGAGCCTGAAAAAGAAATCTGAAGTAGTCACTATATCTAAGGATTGGTAAGCTGCAATATATTACATATTTGTTTTTTGGTTTAGCTATGCTTTAACCATTGAAGTTCTTTGAGTCTATGTTTAATCGATGGAAACATGACCCTGTAGTTTTGGTTCACTGAAAAGGCAGTCTTTCAGGTAAATGCCGATTTATGTCTCTTTATGGAAAGTGCACCCAAGCAGCAATGTACCAGCACAGAAAATTGTTTACTTTTATTGCTGTTTTCTATAGAGATACCACACACCCTGCACTGATACTTTACATTCAACACTGATTTAACTGAATTAACTTTACAGCTCCATTTTTCATAAGAATGTTTTTATTTCCCTTTTTATGCTTTGTTTTTTTTCTCTGTCTTGAATCATCATCTTTTTTTTTTTTACTAAAAAAGTAGCAATCCAAGATTTGTTGCTTAATCTTGCTAGTTAATAACTCTGCTGTGTTGCTTGCAGGAACTATACATTGCGGTTGGCATCTCAGGAGCTATCCAGCACTTGGCTGGAATGAAGGACAGCAAGGTAAAATGTGTATTTTGAATGACATCTTGACTGACCTGTATGTTTATATCTTGATTGTATAGTACAGGACACAGGCTTGATATCCATAGACCCTGGGTTATAGGCTGGCATATTCACTTTTGCTATTACTTTTTATCCCACGGGTGAGTAATTTTCCCAAGGGGCCACTTGAGAAACTGGGACTGTTGTGGAGGACCGAACTTCATTCTTCTCAATATTAGTTTTGGATCTGGGAAGGTCCGTAAGTAAGTAAACATAGAAAACAAACACCGGGCACTAGGAATAATTGGTACAACTGCTCAGGAAATAGGTCTTTTTCAGATGGTTGGTCAAGAGATTGTAAAAATGGGCAGCTGAGGCCTAGTTTTACCGTCACCTGGCCTCCCATCCGAGCTGTAAAAGAACAGCCAGAAGGGCTGTTCACATGCTGTGGCCGCAATGCTTTGCTTCAGTGCATTTTTAACTCTGGATTCAAAGTTTGAGATGTGGCACTTCTTGTCAAACTCTTTTGTTGAGTTCAGTGGGGCCGTGCTGCAACTGCATGCAATGCACAGGATTGTGAGCGGTAGCGTGGCATTATAGGGTTAAATCAGGTGTTGAGGAGGTGACGTAGCACCCCCTTACTACCTGTCAAATGCACTGTGACTGGAAGGAGAGAGCCCGAGATGAGTGCAGCCGGGATTTCTGCAGATACTGACTGGGAGTGAATAACAGGTGCACAACTCCTGGGGTTTGTAGTGTGCAGGCGCTAACACAAGAAGAACTTGGTCAGGTAGGTAGCAGAGTGGTGGAAGGCATCCGTATGTCTCCTAGGCAATGCTCTGCCTCCAGAATCCAGCTTCACTGCTGTACCGATCAGCTCCTTCGGCTCTTTCCTTCCAGTTCTTGCAGCTCCCCACAGGGACATCTGTCAGCACACCTCTCAGCCTGTCAGCCAAGTCCTTACTTTGTAGCAATGAAGTGGTAAATATTCCACAACAGAGAAATTTTAACATTGGGTCATTGAATTTCTTGCAGCAATTTAAAGTGGAACATCACGCAAAAAAGCGGGCGCTCCGCTGTTATGCCTCCTCCACTTCCCTTCCCTCTTCAACTTTTGGCACTTTTTTGGGGGGGTGGGGGGGGGGGGGGGAGTCAGTACCTGGTCCTGACAGGTATCCGTCCCCACTTCACCTTGGCTATTCAAGCAGAAGATTGGAAGCCTCTCTTTGCCCACAGCCTTTTGGGATACGTCACAGGTCCCAGAAGGCTGCAGGAGCATTCACAATGCACAGTGGGAAGACACAAGGGGGTTTATTTACTAAAGCTGGAGAGTCCAAAATCAGACTCCCTTCTGCATAGAAACCAATCAGCTTCTAACCTCAGCTTGTTCAATGAAGCTTTGGCAATGAAACCTGGAAGCTGATTGGTTTCTATGCAGAAGGGAGTCTGATTTTGGACTCTCCAGCTTTAGTAAATAAACCCCAAGGAGTCACAGCTGGCTTCCCGCACTAAACATGCCAACACAGAGGAGCCAAAGACCGATGAAGAACTGGCCTGGGTGAGGATGACGCTGGATCCTTGGACAGGCAAGTGTCTTTTTATTAAGTCAGCAGCTACAGTATTTGTAGCTACTGACTTTTTTTGTCTTTCTTTTCAGGGTAGAGATTCTCTTTAACTATTAGTAATGTATTGCGGTTAAAATAAATAAAATACTTAAATCACTTTGCTGTAAGGTATGTGTTATTTGTCATAATGATTGGTACTTTTAGCCAGTTCTATTTGGCACTCATTTGTTGTCACTGCTTCAGATAACTGTTCTAACAAATAACAATTATAACAACTTAGTGAATTGAGTCTAGCAGCCATTGGAAGAGCAAAAAAAAAATGCAGAAACTTATGTAACAATGAAGAAATCTTTTTTCTTTTTCAATTTATATAATTAATCTAAACTGATGAAAGGTAAAATCTGGTTGATTTAGGTCATTGTAGAGCATTTCTGTTTGCCAAATGGCAAGACCTCTCTGATAGCCTTTGGTATGTATCTTTTGGTCCATTCTCAGGGCCTGTTAAGTGGGTCTGCCTCCAGTGAAACACCATTTGTAAATCAGCCTGCTTTGGTTTGAAAACAAAATACCATAATGAATACAGTAAACCTTCATTCTGCAAATTGTATATTTACACCAGACCTAGTCAGTGAAATTGTGCAACAAACAGAGAAACCCAGAGCACCCAAATTGGATTGTTTTACTGATAACAGAGTGAAAAAAAATTTTTTCTCAATTATTTGTGTGTTTTTGTACTTTGGAATTTACAACTTACATTAAGGCTAGGTTCACACCTATGCAGTTTGTGTTTGATCCATTTCTGCAGTGCTTTTTCCGGTGCATTTTTGCACATGCATGCCACCCCTCTCTGTCAATCCCTCCACTGGCTTCCCATTGCCCAACGGATAAAATTCAAAACATTCAAAATTAACTTTTCTAAATCCCAAGCGCTTAATGTATCATTAAAACCGGAGGTGGTTAAACAAGCGACATCAAATTTTCCCTTTACCTGGCAACGAGAAACTATCACTTATTTAGGTATCCAACTACCATCCCATCTTACCGAACTATATGCAACAAATTTTCTACCCCTCTTACGTAACATTTCCAAAGACCTTCAGACGTGGAATAAACCTTGGTTCTCTTGGTTTGGTAGAGCAGCCATACTTAAGATGAACGTGCTCCCCAGAATATTATATTTACTACAAACAATACCAATTCAATTACCAAATTCATTCTTTCAATCATATAAAACGCTCTGCTCCTCTTTTCTTTGGTATAATAAACGCCCAAGAATCAGCTTCACCCAACTCACTATGCCCAAGAAGAATGGAGTTATTGGATTACCGGATATTTCTCGTTACTACAGGTCTTGCCACCTAGCCAGATTAGTAGACTGGACCACGAATCACATTCGTAAGATCTGGGTCGGTTTGGAGGCTGATTTTTCGAAGATACCACTTTCCACCTCCCCATGGCTGAAAACCGCCCATGTCCCTTCTGAATTTCGGATGCACCCACTTATAGGTCCCACTTTACGATGTAGCGCGCAAGTGTTTCAGGAAAAATTTCTTTCTTCCTCTCTGAGCCCTTTCACTCCGATCAAATTGAACCCGGACTTTATTCCAGGGATGTCTACGACCTTTCTTGCTGGGTATAAACGGGAAGATAACCTAACAGTACGTCAATTTCTCAAAGATTCTAAGCTCCTGATCTAGAGAAGACATTACAAAGGCGTGGCCAGCCCTTACCTTAACGCCTTGGATGTATAGACAAATCCACCATTTTCTACGTAACTCCCCACATCTAAAGGATTATTCAAGACCGCTTACTGCTTTCGAAAAAACTCTGCTTTACAGATCTCCCACAGAGGCATGTAATATCCAAATTATATTCCCTATTGGAAAGTTCCAATACATCTCACTCACTGAAGGCCTGTGCAGCCTGGCAGCATGATCTAGAAATTTCAATCTCACCTGAGGAATGGAACCACATTTACGATCACATGCATAAAGGTTCCATATGTGTGTTTCTACACAAGAAAGCAACTACAAAGTTTTTTCCAGATGGTACAGAGTTCCATCTGTGATTCATAAATTTGATCCTAAAGTGCCAGATTTATGCTGGCGATGCTCCCAGGCAAACGGTACTCTTCTCCATATATGGTGGGAATGCCCGCTGCTGCAGCCCTTCTGGAGAAAAGTTTTGGACACCATTAGACAAGTAACCACTTACACCCTAGACTTTACACCAGCACAATGTCTACACCCACAATGTCTACTCCATCACTCCTCCCTTCCGGTGAGGATTTACCGTAAGTCCCTTGCATTACACGTTAAATGCGGCAAAGCAGTGTATCCCTGTTCATTGGCGATCAGCCTATATTCCCACCGTACGAGAGTGGATTCTTAGGATCCAGAGGATTGCTGAAATGGAGGAACTGATCTCAGTGGCAAAAGATCACCCCGAGCGATTTAGGAAGACTTGGGCTTGTTGGACCCATTTCCAATCTACTGATACTTACCTTGGCTTGCTGAAGGATTGAACGAGAAAGACTTGGAGACACAGAAGGCCTCTAGAACTTTCACCTCGGCAATAACTCCATTAACGGTCATTCACTGAATTATATCGCTAATTAAAAAGATGGACTTAGATACAGCCAGGCTGTTACTAATAGATGTAACTGGTTTGGTTATGCTTCTTTAAATATGAACCTCATCATCCAACCACTACCACCCCCCCCCCCCCCCCCCCTTTTTTTTTTTTTTTTCTCTCTCCTCTCTCTCTCCCCATTCCCCCCTTCTATTTGTCATGTGCGTCTCCTCCCACCTCATTTTGATATCTCATCTCATATTCTTCCTCCATCCCCACGCTCCTCTCTTTCTTTTCTTTTCTTTCTCTCATTTACACCCTCTTTTCTCATAGTCTAATTAGCTATTATTCTCATTCGGTACGGAACACTCATAGCTATACAGATGTAACAATATTCTACAACAGTAGCTCACATTTTTTAGAGATGGAAATATATGTCATAGATGCCTTGAGAGGATACTTTTGTCGACCACTTCAGAATCCGCTTATGTGTACTCTCCTTACATAGAGCCTAGTGTATACCATAATTATCTAAAGTACATGCTACTGTCAGTATTGCTATGGTTACGTCTATCACTTTTGCCTTACTGTGGAACTCCGTCCTCTGATGTTCTACAAATTAATATATTGTCTTGATCCCGTCTGCGTTACGGGAGAACGTACAAGAAATTTTGCACGGACTGCGATCCATATCTGTCTATCATTTGTTTACCTTTCATACTTCAATAAAACGTTTTTTGGAAAAAAAAAAAAAAAAAAAATTCAAAACATTAACAATATCATATAAAGCCATTTATAACTCTGCCCCAAATTACATCAACGATCTTGTCTCTAAATATCACCCAAACCGTACTCTCCGCTCCTTGCAAGACCTCCTGCTCTCTAGCTCCCTTGTCTCCTCCTCCCATGCTCATCTCCAGGTCTTCCCCAGAGCTTCCCCCATCCTCTGGAACTCTCTACCCCCCCCAATTTATCAGACTATCGCCTACTCTGCTCACTTTTAGGCGATCTCTGAAAACCTATCTCTTCAGGGAAGCCTATCCTGCCTTCAGCTAATAATGGAATCTTCTACTCTTCCAACCAGTCCATCCCCCACAGTTACTACCTTTTGTATCACTTGCCCCTCCCTCCTAGATTGTAAGATCCAAAGAGCAGGGCCCTCCTATCCCTCTTGTATTGTTGCTGTATTGGCTCCTGGTATTTTGTAAGGCGCTGAGCAAACTGTTGGCGCTATATAAACCCTGTATTTATAATAATAAGCGTTTGACGCGTTTTTGATGTTTTGCTTTTTTTTCCCCAACTTGTTGCTGAGTAAAACGCATCACATGCATTTCTGCAGCATCTCCATTGAAGTCTATTGAACTAAAAACACAATGTTTTGCGTTTAAAAAAGTCCCTGTCTCTGAATAACTGAATGGAAAATGCATAGGTGTGAATCTAGACTAAGGGCCAATACCACCAAAGACTTTTGTTTCTAGCCTTGGGTAGAGTGGGCAAAAGTTATAACTTTATAATAAGGTTTGTATTGCTGTCTGGGTTTTATTGGTGAAGATTCCACCTCTACATTTGTCCCTGTTATAATCGCCACTGGGGCAAAAAGTAAAGGGAAAGCCAAAATGTTACTGTTGTCACAGATGCAGGAGGTGAGGGGAAATCTTCAGGGAGGGACATGCAATTGGTGACAACTGTTACAGGTGGGATTCTGCTTTCTGTTCAGTCTGCAGAATGTAAAGTGGAGGAAATTTCTCCAGTGGAGAGACACAGCAATAAGAACATAATAGCAGTTCTATCCCTTACCAATGCTATCCATGTTAAAAAGAAATAAATATCTAAAAATGGAATGTTTGGCTGGAGTTCCATTTCCTTGGACAGCACAGTTTGTGTTAAAAAAAAAAAAAACAAAAAAAAAAAAAAAAAAAAAAAAAAACTAAGATGATGTGTTTTCAATCTGCAGACCATTGTTGCCATAAACAAGGATCCAGAGGCTCCAATTTTCCAGGTGTCAGATTATGGTTTAGTAGCAGATTTATTCAAGGTAAGTCTTTTTCCACTGTGTCATTTGAAGTTATTGTAGCAGTATGTCCTACTGTCTACAGACATTATCTTATGAGATCTGGAAGGCATATTTTGGTACTGCTAAAGGCCTGTTGTAAACTCTTTACACATGGTATTGGTATGTTACTTACCATTAGACGGGCTGTCTATTGAAACCTGCAGGTCTTGTGAATGAACTAGGAGAGTGCTCATCCAATCCATCTCAGTGTTCATTCAGAACTACACGCTGACAGCAGCAGTGGCTGATAGTAGTTGTGATCTATTCATTCAAAGGAAACTATAAATGAATTATGCGGTGGAACCCTGCATGGCCGGGCTGCTTTTAAAGGATAAGTTCTCCTTTGGGAAGATGTTAAATGTTCAACCGTTTTGAGGGAGTGAGGATATTGGAAAAAACACCTTTATTTCAGAAGAGAGATGGTAGTAAAAAAAAAAACCCCAAAACATCTCTTTCACAGTTCCCCTTTAAGTAAAGTCAAATACACATTTTAAGTATCCATGCATGCTTATTACAATGTTTGACTTAATATATAGATTCTTGCACAAACATAGTTGACATTAGTATTCTTTAAGGCCTATTGTCTTGTTATATTATGTAATTGGAAACTGCTTGAACGGCCATTTCCAGAAAGTTGTCATCAGTGACTGCTACTATGATTTTTCCCTTTTCCTCTTCGGCCAGTAGTGCACCCAGATATTACCATCCACTACTGGTTTAATACACTGCACTAATGATGACCAACAAGCCTGAAACATCTGTACACTGTTTGGAATAAGTAGTCCAGTTGGATGGGGGGGGATTTACTAAAACTGGAGAGTGCAAAATCTGATGCAGCTCTGCACAGAAGCCAGTCAGCTTCCAGGTTTTATTGCCAAAGCTGAAATTATGTTGAATCTGTTTTTATTCATTTCCAAAAGGAATGGCATACAAGTAGTAGGGTTTACATTGAGATTCAACCAGTAGGCAAAGTTACAGAAAAACAGGTATGAAATATCTCAGATCAGCAAAAATCCAAAGTAGAGCTTGAACATGTAGAGGTTCTTATATAAAGCACAAGCAACTTTTATGAACATGTTGATAGTTTGATGTGGTTATTAAAGAGGCAAACATAGCATGAGAGAAAAATCAGATTAACTGCTTCCCGACCGCCCAATAGCAGACACACTGCTACAGGGTGGCAGGGGTACGCAAAAGCACGTATATATACACATGATTTTACATTTCCAGGTAGGTGTGCGCGCGCCCTGCCTGCACCGCCATTCGCAGCCATCAATCACCGGGTCCCAGCCGGTGATTACTCGCTGGTGCCCAGTGATTCACGAGCATCTCCGACAGGGAGGAGAACTGTTTGTAAACAAAACAGTTCTCCCTGTCAGCTCGTGCACACTGCTTTGGATGGCTATGCAAAGCACAGCCATCCAAAGAAGTGTGCTTACAGTGAAGCATACAGACAAAGCCCACAGTAAAACAGCACATAATTAACCCTTTATTCACCCCTCATGTTAACCCCTTCCTGCTCAGTGCCATTAGTACAGTGTCAATGCACTTATCACTGGGGATGTCAGTGACACCAAGTCAGTTCCCCCCAGAATGCCCGCCACAGTCCCGCTATAATTCGCTGATCGCCACCATTGCTATTAAAAATAAACAAAAATCACAGTATATATACCGCCATTTGTAAACTCTATAACTTTCATGTAAGCCAATTAATTGACACGTATTGGGATTTTTGTATTAGGAAAGACATGTAGCAGAATACATTTTGCCCTAAATTTGACAAAATTTGATTTTTCGAAAAGTTTTTACTGGACATAGTCAAAAAGTCTTTTTTATTTTTTTTTCATAGAGCAAAAAAATAAAAAAAATGCACAGGCGATCAAATACCACCAAAAGAAATCTCAATTCGGGGGAAAAATAGGATGTAAATTTAATTTGGGTACAGCGTTGCTTGACCATGCAATTGTTCAGTTAAAGCGACACAGCGCCGTAACGCAAAAATGGCCTGGTCAAGAAGGAGGGTAAATCCTCTGGAGTACAAGTGGTTAAACGTATTCCAGTACTCTTGTCAGCATTATGTAGAGCATTTGAACTCCAGAACTAGTGGGTTTCTAGAGGAGTTTTTTTAGCTGTAAAAAAAAACCCCCCCCCCCCAAAAAAAAAAATCCACAAAAAAAATGCAAACGGGGGAAAACACCATTATTTGTGGCAAAACGCTAATGCAAAAGTGCTTAAAAAAAAAGTGAAACACTCACATTTTTATTGTGACTTTACACAGCTAACATTACCAGCGTTATCAAAACGCCCCGTGTGCATGGAGGCTAAAATCTGCAATGAAAGGCTCCTGTGGCCAGGAGGGAGAGACTTTCAATGCTGGATGTAAAAGGACACGGCTGTTGGATCTTAGCAGTTATACATCTGTGGAGCGGGATGCTGGGATTGTTTAACTAAGTGCAAAAGGACAAAATGAATAAGTACACTCTTTAGGAATACATACAGAAGGGCTTCTTAGTTACCTTTAACCCATCTCTCCATAACTTTTTCCAGTTCTATTGTCTTGTAGGTCCCCTTGCTCTATTGCAGTTCGCAATAAGTAGCATTATAAATGATTTTATGGCTCTGTCCACTATTCTAAAATGAGGGAAAAAACATTTTATCTTTTTTTAAGTTAATAAAAGTAATTCATTCTGGTACCTTCTATTTTAAGGAGAATGCTGCATTAGCTTTGTTTTATTTAAACACACAAAAATTGCACATATCCTGTTTTTTTTTCTTTTTAGAATGGATCACAGCTCAGTGATGTCTTATGTGTCCAGTCCTTGGTCTACTGGGGAAAGCAGGTGGCAGTGCCAGTTTTTAATGCCATTTCTGAACTGACGCCTGCTGGCTGGATCTAAGACACCACCACTTACAATGTACACCATGTAGACAATTTCCCCAATAAATTTTGTAGGAGCATATTAATTCCACCTGATGGAAACACAGATAGTGTAAATAATTCAAGGATTATTTTCTACTGAGGATCTTGAGTGGAAACAGTGGGACACCTCTATTCCCACAGCCATTTACACAGTAAACAGAAATAATCCAATAACTGCATTCTCGATGTATCAGAAGATATTTCAAATGTCTAGCTGTTTTCTGCTATTTTGCATCGGTTTATTTTTTAGTAGCTTTATTGGATACAAGATGTTCCAAATTAATGCTTGATATATAGCAAACATTTTAGTGCATATGTTCTGAATACTTCCTGGATGATGTCTTGCTCCTTAGTTTTTATTAGATCTAGTTACATGGTAGGCAACATGCTACATTAAGTCCTTGTATGTGGAACCTGAGCTTCCAATAACAAAAAAAAAAAAAAAAGTATCAGATAACTTTTTTCCTTTTTCTCTGCAGTGTGTATATAGTCAGAGATTATGCATATTCAAGGAAAAGGACTGAATTCTTCACCTGTTAATGCTGAATTAAACCCCAATCCCAGTTTTAATGTTTGTGGGTTTTTTTTGTAGGCGGTGCCAGAAATGACAGAAATACTTAAGAAGAAGTAAAAGGAAGTTTCACTTGCCAAGTAATAAAAAAAAAACAGCTGCTTTAACAAATCTTTGTAATTACTGATACATACTTTACAGGATACATTATACCAAGCCTGATAATTATACTTTTTTACTGATGGTGTTTAAATGGTTTAGGAATAACAGAACTTTAATAAAAGCTGCTTGGAAAATTCACATTGTGTATGAGTTTTATATGTTAAAAATTCTGTTAAGGGGACTACACTTCCCATTTTACAGATTTAAATGGTTCTGCTCAGTTGATCCTACAAATATTTTGTAACTCTGCTCTCACACCTGTATTCAAAGTTGGTTATGTTGAATAAAGACAATGGTCCATCCCGTTCAAGCTGTAGCCCTGTACACTGTGTTTGCCAAGAAACACACCTCAATTTTTCTGGACTTATCTACACTCTCCACCCACTGTGGAAGAGAGCTCCACGTCTTTCTGCGCGAATAAAGAACCCCCTTATGCAGTTTAATCATTTTGGAGCTCAACTCTTTGATCTACAGATGAATAAAATCTAAAACAACATTTGTAAACGTCAGAATGGCTGCATTTTACAGGGAACTCTTGGCGGTCATTTCAAGAGCTTGGATTTGCTGGCAAGTACAAGGAGGTGAATGGCAACAAGGTGTCAGTACTAGAATCTCACAGTACTCATCTGAGAGCAGATAATTCAATGTTTTCCACCTTGTTGCAACATGTATACGCAAACACAATTTAGCACACCAAGTATTTTTAGGAAGATAATTGTAAAGCAAATGAACGGAGGACAAATAGTAAAAAGAAATGCACATTTATTTGTTCTTAAATTGATAATTTTATTATTTGCATTTCCAAGTACTGCCAAAATTTCATTGCATTCAAAAATATTGCAGCATTTGTAGAAAATCTGTAGTTATGGGTAAAGGAAATATATGAAAGCCATAATATTGCAATAAAACAGATGCTCCAGTAGATCAAACATCTGTGTGCAGACTATGCCCTGGGTACAGCTTCTCCAAAGTTTGGTTGTACAGTAAAAGCATGCGGTTAATGGATCAGTTCTGTAAACTCGATTATGAGGTCCGCCATAGAAGACCTATTTTGGAATTCATATCTCCTGAGAATAATGAATGGTGGCTTCCGAGGATGGTGTCTGTTCCAAATAAAGGCCACAGGGACACAGAATTCAGATCTACTTTGAGCGATATCTGGAGTAGATGCCAGTAAACCTCTCAACAATGTCAAAAATCTGGTCATGTTGCATGAAGCAGTCATAACTGTCTGTTAACTGAGAATCTACTGCTGTGTTATTCACTGAGGAGGCATGGATCTAAGGCCTTGCTTCATTTCAACTCTGCGTCTATCTTATTACTTTCTAGTAAAGGAAGATTAAGGGGAATCACTGACCTATCATGAAACATTCCAAATCCTTCACGATTTACTCTGTTGTATATGTTTATGCCTTGTCTGGGACTAGGTGTACGGAAATTTGCTGGGTTACTTAGATGTAAGCTAGTTGGATCTAGACCTTTCTGAATGAAGGAAGCATCATCAGAAAATGAAGATAAGAGTTCTTGAACAACCGCATTATTCACTGTGTGTCGGATAGTCTGCGCCAAGGGACAGTAGTCTGTGGACTCCTCCCTTGTACTGCAATCTGTGGATGAACAGAAGACCTGGCTGCTGATACTCTGTGCTAGTGTTTCAGAGCTCTCTGGAGATCTGGACACACTCACGGATGTTATGCTGCTGGAGCTGCTGGTTTGCTCCTGGCTGAATGGGACATCTGCTGAGTAGAGGTCAGATGATATGTTGGGGTGGTGGTGAACATCAATAGCAGCTGTGGTGATGATGCATGTTCCAGGAACTCCACTTTCTGTAGGGTAACACAATATGAAACATTCAAAGATACACCTTTTATATGATTCTCACTTTTTCTACACCTGCATTTTTCTCAAGATGGAAATGGCTTTAGCACCCATTCACAGATTTTTTTTTTTTTTGGTTTGTTTATTTTTTTTTCTCTCTATTGCTCAGATTCCATCAGCAAAAACCCAACCGTCATTCTTGCTTCTGAAAAATCCATAACTTTGAAGGCTCCTAGCCAATCTCTTGTACCAGCTGGATAATCTGAGTGATATGAACTGAACAGATAACTGGAATGCAACTAACATAGGACCTTCTAAGTGGACATTAAGGATCCAAAGCAAATCCAGCTTTCTAAACGCATGGGTCTGCACTTGTTGATGACATCAATTTCAAATTGGTTCTGAGATCATGCAGAATTCACTAACAGGTGAATTTAACCGGCCGTTGACCGCCTCCTGACCTGCTTAATACAAGCAAAAACCCAACACAGGCTGTAACCAACCCAACCAGGACAGGGGCTTTTGGAGGGGACTGCAGGCTAGCCTCTTGCCTATCAGCCCTGGCCTTTAAGGGGGCTCTATTCTTTGGGTGGTGTGTGCCTGGGGGACCTTTGGCATTTTACTTCAGATTCAAGTCCATGTCTCCCAAAAACACAAACTCTGAGAAATGGAGGACCCGGGTACAGATTTGATTCCTCTGTTTTGTTTGGGTATAGAATCAACAGCCCAAACTTGCATTGATTGCTTCAACCCCCTCCTAGTCTCAGAGACTCAAAGCAGAAAATTATAATCGGTTTAAAACAACCTGATGATGGAGTCTTCTGCTGTTCTGTGTAATCTGTTTATTAAGGTGTTCTGAGTTTACTTATAATGTATACCTGTGTTTGCCTATTCTGTGTAGGTGTGACGTGCCTTTCTTTCTCCCATTGTATAATTGCCCCATTGTGTGCCTCCTAGGTGTGAATTCTCATCTTTAACTGAGTAACCTATTGTTTCTGTTTGTAATCCTCCTGGAGATTCCTACAGGGTGTGATTAGTCTTGTGTCAACTTTACCTCATTACCTAACCATTTTGAGATGTTAACCCCAATGTCTAATTATTTTTCTTTTACAAAGAAGTTTATTGTAGAATAGAGAACATCAGAGAATCAGTCAAAAATGTCTAATTATTTTTTATTGTTCATGTGAGGACTAACCCGATTTTTGAAGTGTATAAAAACCTGTATTACTTTTTAATAAAGTTATTCCTTTGGTTTTACCTCAACATCGTGTCTGTGTATGATGCTTGGGATAAAGGGCTGGCATTTGCTAATCAGTCACTGGAAGGGTTTGGGAGGTAGGGGGCATGGTTTGGCAGAGGCACCCAGGCAAGGTGCCAGGCAGTCCATCACAAAAGGCCCTTATTCTCCTTTCCCATTTCATGGGACTGTCTTGTAATAAGAGTAATACAGAAACTGCCATTGTTGATTTTCTGCAAAAAAGCTGCCTGTCATACCAATACTTCTAGATTACAAGAAAGCATCAACATGAAAAGGAGGGCTGAGTAACACTGACTTTTGCTGATCTGGAACAGATATGCATATCAGTAATCAGATGGTACTTAAGCCAATGGTTTATTAAGTTGACCAAGAAACTAACATTTTTGGATAGAAGGCAGCAATGGAAGTCTGTATTTGTCTCACAATATGTTTCCAAATAAAAACCCCCCCCATCTATAATATGTTTATATACAAATACTGCTCTCTTTGATATACTCCCAGAATGTTATTGGTTTAACATTACAGGAATGTTTAACCCCTTCACGCCAGCCGCATGCAAACGTGCGGCCTCCCGGCCTATGGGCCTAGACCCCGAGCGGCCGCACATTTGCGTTCATGTAACAAACATATGTTCTGACAGCGTGCGCCCTGCGCGCTCCCACCACACATCACATGTGTGGTACTCACGGAAAGGTCCCGGTCCACTCTTTCGATCAGGACCTTTCCCGATCATGTGACCGGCCGTGACGTCACGGCATCCACATGACACTAAGCCCCGTCCACCTCCCCGCGCAGGACGATCCGGCGTGAAGGGGTTAATGAATCACCAGGATATATATATTTGTTTGAAAATAGAAATACATGTATATATGTTTAGCATACAAGTCTGTATACTTACCACTGCTGGGCTCATTATAATACTGTGTTATATAATTATTCATGTCATCCTTTGTAATTACCTCTGTAAAATAGAATGCAAAAGTCTAGATTAGCAAACTAAAAAGGGATAACATATCCGTTACAAGCAATCTATGCTATTTATAAACAAAAAATAATTGCCTAATGGAATAAGGCTTCACTGGTATAGGGTGTGCAGTTGAAACCCTCTACTGACCTTGGTGCCTAACCCCTACCCTGGGAGGCTACCTAGAGAATTTTCTCCCACTGTTACATGACTAAATAACATGTTACCAATATAATAACATTTAAAAAAAAATGTGAAAACTGAGTGTTTAGAGCTCCACTGTGTGAAGAAACAAAGTTACACACTGAATAAATTATTCTATTATACAGTTGTTTTGCAATGCCACACCACACATTGTATATCTCAACAATAAAATAAATTCCAAGAAGATGGAAACAGGATTTTTATACGTGCCAAAAAATCCTTTGAGTGACACAATTAAGTCTTCCACCCTCAGTGTCTAATCCTCCTGTAGGCAACATTATAACCTGACCAGCACAAAACCTGCAAGCCAGCTTGGGAAAACTCTGCTACAAAACAGAGGCATGCTGCTAGTGGGCAAAGTAGTACTAACAACATAAGAGTGGTGAGATCTGTGTCTGTCAATGAACTCCAAGAAATGGAATTTACAATGGGTACAAAATTGCAAACTTCTTTCTTGTCCATTGAAAGACTTTCTTTGTTGGAACCTTCAAAAAGCAGTCTACTGGAGGAATGGGTAATGCCGCAAGCAAATCACAGACACAAGAAAACATCAGTAAAATGGGAACTGCCTACAGGGAAATTTCCTTTTGGTGAACTGAAACCAGACAGGGATGGACAATGTCCTAGTTGAGGTGAAAGGAAGAAACTACCTTAAGCAAGAAGAAAGTCCTGGGACTCCATACCACCTTGTCTCTATGCAAAACCAGAAAGAGG